CCTGTGTTCCTCCAGTTCCACATTGTATTACCTACAACTTTAAATTGTAGACAGAATCATAAAAGCTGCATAAAGTGCAAGTCTCTTTGCTGTATTGTCAGCAAAATGCTGCCTGATTGCACTCGTTCACTGAATATTTTGAGAAATGAATGCAAATTTGAATCACATCTTTGCTTCTGAAAAGTAGCATGGTTTTGAGTGGTTTAGACACCGTTTGCCAAGTACACAGTGGAAATTCAACCATATTCAATACACTGGGACAGCTTTATGTAGTGACTGTGTTGTCAATGTCAGTGGAAAGGTTAGAAAAAGACATTCCCTCAACGGGGAAGTGTGTGAAGGGGAATCAGAGTTACCAATGATAAGTGGAATGGGAAAAAAAAGCCTTTTAAAGTTACAACTGTTGGATCAGAGAAGGGGACAAGAGTTCAAACAGGATGAGTTAAATTCAGAACTAGCATCCACACACTGTTCACAGAACAGATGGTTAAAAATTGACTTTGCTGACATGACCTGGTCTTAGAATGAAAAGAGACAGCAAACCCCAGCTTCTTGCTAGGGCACACAGCTGCTTTATCAACATCAGGTACATTTATTTTATCCCATGCTACAGACCACAGTACAATACTTGGCAAAGCCAATTTAAGTCTACATTAAAATATTTTATATCCTTTCACTGAAAAGTCAATGCACACAAATGGAGCGTATTGCTTCTTAAGACACACTGGGGAGGTGATGGCCGAGTGATATTATTGGACTGTTAATCCAGAGACCCAGGTTCAAATCTTGCCACGGCAGACGGTGGGATTGGACTGCAATAGAGAAACCTGAATTAAGGGTCTAAATTGGCAACGGTTTCATGGTCGTCATATCAGAAAAACCCATCTGGTCACTAATATCCTTTAGGGAAGGAAAGTGCCATCCTTAGCTGGTCTAGCCTACACGTCCCTCTAGACCCACAGCAGTGTGGTTGACTTTTAAATGCCTTCTGGAATGCGCAATAAAAGCCAGCCTAGCCAACAAAACCCTCAGCCCATGAATGAATACAAAGAAACACTAGACATTACTCTTCCCAAGGCTGCAAGTTCACTCTGTATTGACAAAGTCTCATTATCTGTTGAGGACTTGTTCATCTCAATATTGTGCAAGACAATTGGGATCTTAAATTTGCATTGAACTTTTCTTTTTGCATGGTCATAAAGAATTATGTTCAGGTCAACAGAAGCTATTGCTGGTGAATGGAAAACTTTCCATTGTTTGTTCTAAATGCTGTAAGCACTCTGAAGGCTAGGTATAGCTTGGTTAGAAAAAGCAAAACTCCCCAAATCTCTGCTTCATTTGACTCAACCCAAACAGGTGCAGTGACAATTGCCGATCTCTCTTCAGTCATCTTCTTTATCAGGAGATTACCAATTATCCTAAATAAGGCAGTTTTCTGGGTCACGATCAAACAAGCTGAAATAAGAGAATACCTAGCCTTACCTCATTAACGTTGATCTTTGACTTTGCAGAAGACTCTAAAAAGGCACAGTTGTTCCATTGTCTTGCTAGGTTCTGGCCCTGTTCTTTGCCCACTACTCGCTCATCTTCCAAGTCACATTTATTGCCAACCAGAATCATCGGAACCTGGGAGGAAAACATAAGCAGCAGTGCCAGGCTGTTATCAGTGAAGACTCATGTTCTAAATTTTAAATATCAATTGATTTCTATTCATACAATTTTGCCTTAAAGGGTTTGGCCAATCAGTAAAGTGAAAAAAAGTGATATTTCTAGTGTCATAATCTGGTCCAGATGCCAGTCTTCAGCCAATTTGATTTATTCCACATGATATCAAGAAATGATTGAGGCACTGGATACCGTGATAGTAATGGGCTCTGACAACATTCCGGCAATAGTACTAAAGACTTGTTCTCCAGAATTTGCCTCTCACCTAGCCAAGCTATTCCATTATGGTTATAACACTGGCATTTACCAAACAATATGGAAAATTGCATAGATATGTACTGTATACAAAAAGATGAACAAATCCAACCTGGCCAATTTACCATCCCATTGGGTTGTAGACATACTTGTCGAGTTGGTGGGTTTGGTTGCAAACGTTTTGTCACCCTGCTAGGTGCTGCCTCACAGTACCAGGGACCTGGGTTTGATGCCACCCTAGGGCAACTGTGTGTGGAGCTTGCACGCTCTTCCCGTGTCTGCATGGGTTTCCTCCCATAGTCCAAAAATGTGCAGGCTAGGTGAATTGGCCATGCTAAGTTGCCCATATAGTGTTCAGGGATGTGTAGATTAGGTGGGTTATAGGGGGAATGGGTCTGGGTGGGATGCTCTGAGGGTCGGTATGGACTCGTTGGGCCGAAGGGCCTGTTTCCATACTGTAGGGATTCTATGATGAATCTACGATGAGTAGTCTTGGTGGCCATCTCTGAAATGTCCTTGACGTATGGTAGGAAGTTTAGTGAGCGTGGTCAAACCTGAAGAAAACCAACTATACAGGTACACTAACACCAACTAGCCACCAAGAGACACGACTGGTTCTCACGTGTCACTACACACGGGCAACAAGGGGCATGTATTTAACTGGGACAACACATCTATAAATCACGCAAGCCAAACTGAGACACGCCAGGGAATCCCTGGAGGCTGGTACTCCAAACAGAACTCCATCAACAAAACACACTGAGTTAGACCCGGTGTACAAATCACTGAGAAACAAAACCGGAAGTTGTACCAACCACCCCAGAAAACCGAGGCATATAAATAACAAACAGGAAAGAACACCAACCCTTCACCAGAGGCACACTGACAATGTTGCCCAGCAGGATGACGAAACGTCTGCAATCAAACACACCAGCTTGCCAAGCATATCTACAACCTCATCCACAACCCAAACTACAAATTTCTCGAAAATTTTACCACGCCAGTCTACTCTCCGTCAGCGAGGCGATGAAAGTCATCAGTGCAATCAAGCAGCACTCATTCAGCAAAAAGCTGCCTAGTTTGGGTTCCGCCAGGACCTCAGCTGCTGACTTCATTACAGCCTTGGTTCAAACATGGACAAGAGAACTGAATTCCCGAGGTGAGATGAGGGGGACAGCCCTTGACATCAAGGCTGCATTTGACCCAGTGTGGCTTCAAGGAGCTCAAGTAAAATTGGAATCAGTTGATATCAGGGGCAAACTCTCCGTCAGTTGGAGTTACATCTCGCACACAGGAAGATGGCTGTGGTTTCTGGAGGTCAGTTATCTCACCTCCAGAACATCTCTGCAGGAGTTCCAAAAGGATACATTTGTTTTCTAAATTGACCTGCTCAGATGTTATGACACACTGCTGGAGTGGATGAGACTTAAACCTAGGTCTCATGGTTCAGAAGCAGGGGCACCATCACTGCGTCACAACAGTCCTTTAGTTCCTCAGGATAGCGTCTTAAGCCCAGTTGCTTCAATTACTTTCCCTCCTTCATAAAAAGTCAGAAGTGGGAATATTGAATAATTGCATAATGGTCAGAACCATTTGCGACTTCTCGGATACGGAAGCAGTCCACATTCAAAATCAACAAGATCTGGACAATATCTAGGACTGGGCTGACAAGTGGCAAGTAACATGCATGCCATACAAATGCCAGGCAATGACCGACTATCTCCAAAAAGACAGAATGTAACCATCATCCCTTGACAGTCAGTCAATGGCATTACCATCATTGAATTGTCGACATCATGTTATCGGGTGGGGGTGGGGGAGGAGGAGGCAGAAGAGACAAGAGACAAGAGACAAGAGACAAGAGACAAGAGACAAGAG